TATATATTTTTTGTTAGAGGTAGGTAAGTTTGGTGTTTTTCTGTAAGCAATTTTGTCTTTGGTGGACAAGTTGGCTCTCTCCATCCAGTGGGATTAGTTTCTGGAGTAGCCACATTTTGAGAAGCCATTTAGAAGTTAGGGGAAGGAATCCAACAATTGTTTGTGTATTTTAGAGACCAATTTTGAAAATATAGCTACTCGTTTGCAAGTGTTCACATCGTAAGTTGGTTGGTGGAACATGGCAGTCTCGATTTGCCTGAGGCGGAGGTCGTTGCGGTGCGGTTTGGTGCCTGTGAGCGGTAGCACTGTGAAATGTGTGCCGTGCTGTTCATGTGTGTCCTTCACTGGGATGAGTAGACGCTGAGGTGCAGCGTCCAGACTGATCACCTGTGCGCTCTCCTCTGTGTAACTTTTGTCCCCAGCCTCTCGAGTCCTACAAGGCTGCTCTCGGTGCAGACGTGCACTTGGAGGGTTTTCAAACGGATCTCGTGAAGCAGAAGGATCATGGAACTCTGAAACTAACGCAGCTCTAAAGGCCCAACCCAGTCTTCCTCTTTTCCCTGGCCTGTCCATGCAGTTAAAATGCCCTCTCTTCCACTAACCAGACCTATCCCGTGGATGTGAGTAATCTTGTTGTTTTTCTAAATTTTTCGCATTAAATTTAGGAACACAAAAAATAAGCCCATATGACCTGTTTGTCTTGGTGTAAGGAACCTCAGTGTTACTCTGTAAATTCGTTAAAGCTGAGAATTGTATACAGCAATGGTTACATCTCTAACAAGGCCGCTGTGTTGGCCTTTGCTTGTTCTGTCGCACCTGTATGAGTGCGTGTGCCTCTCGGGCCAGAACAATGTCCAAACCATGTCTGTATGACACAAGCAAACTGAGAAGCATGGGCGTATTTTTCTAGTAACTTCTGGTCATGTTAATCATTAAGAAATTGACACTGGTTGGTCTTGTGTTCGACATGTTGGGATGTGTATTTGGGTAGCGTGAGTTTGCCGCCGTCTCTGGGGCAATGCTGCTCTGTGCATTAATCTGCATAATGATCATCCCATAGTTTTTCCCCTAATATTTTTTTTCTAGGTGATTACAGTTGGATTAAATTAATTTGGCTTTGTAGATTTCGAGATTTTTGTCCAACTTTTAGTTGCACTCTTAAGGGGGAGAGTGTTACGGCCCACGGCCCGTAATTCCCTATTTTGGGGATTACTTTAGTTTTTCCCGTGGTGTCTCTGTGTGGTTGTGTTTCCTCCCTTTTTTCAGAAGATCACGCTCGTGAGTCCTTGGCTCCTATTGGCCAGTCATTCCCCACCTGGAGCTGATTGACCGCGATGCCTGGGTGCTGATTGGGCAGCAGCTGAGGCAGGCCTCCAATCAGCGTGCGCTCACCTGGAGGACCTGCCCTTATAAACTGCCAATCTTCCGCGGCTCAGGGCAGCTGGAGTCAGTGGACTCCAGTTCGCCATTAGTTTTGTCTGTGTTTTGTCACTTGTGCCGGTACCTTAGTTCAGTGACTTGTTTAGTTTATGTTGAGACACTTTTGGTTTTGTCAACTGCTTACTTGTTTTAATAGGGTATTTATTTACTGTGTGTTATGTAGATATTAATCCTATTTTGTTTTACCTACTTTGTCACCTAAATAAATTATGATTTTAGTTACCATTCTACCATCTTGGTTATTTTGTTACTTCCTCACACCTAGCTGAGCCGGGTCGTAACAATCATGCTGTGGTATTTGCCATTTGGTGGTAGCATAGAGATAGGGCAGGTAGATAGCATTATTCTCCCTTGATGCTGGTTTTGCCATATATTTTCTACAAAGGAGATTATTTCACAATCTGAAGCATGAAAGGACAAAGTAAAACGTCTCATTTTCTTTTATACGGGTAAAAATACTGCATCATAATTCTTGTTTAATTTTGCTGTGGCTGTGAAAGACTAAATCTCTCGTTGTGTCCTTAGGCAGACACGTCACCCACACTTCAACATCAACGGGATTTGGATTTCATAAGAACATGACGGAAACAGCTGATTTAAAGATGTGACAGAGGCCAAAACTACATGTGAAAACTCATGATAGAACTGTTTTGAGTTGCATGGATATTATTACATTTTTGTGGTTATTAAAGTTAGGTACTCCAGCTTTAGGGAAACAAATATGTAATCTTAGTTCTCAGGAGCAAGTTTAAAGAATATGTTTGATGAATGAATGAATGAAGTTTAAAGTTTATCATTGTCCCAAGCACATAATATGAGGTGAAATTAGTGTGTACGTTTCTGCAGATATATCATGAAGCAAAACATTCAGTAAAAGAGTTAGGCCTGATGTAATTTTTCTGTTTGTCTTTCTGCCATAACAACACAATTAAATATTGACACCAAAACAGTGCTCAAAATTAAGTTTCTCACACACGGGTGGTGCACAACGTTTAAAGCCACTTCCACTTGACTCGTTCCCGCCGCTCTGCTCTCTGTCAGCATCACAGATAACTCTCTATATTTACCCAGGTTCTTAACGCAAACAGCAAATCTCTCCCCACCCCCCTGGGCCCCATACAACTCCTGTTCTGATAACATGGATCTGTCTGGGCAAAGTTAAACTCACAATAAACACACACAGCTTGACATAACATCACTCAAATCGGCCCTGCTCTTTCAGGTTTAACAGACTTCAATAAGATAATGATAATAGAATACCAAAAGTAGCCCAACTGTAACATTTCTTCAGTGAGTTGGAGAACCTAAAATATTCCACAAATTCAGCAGGTCTGACCAAAATGTTGTGTACACAAACATAAACACTGTCCTACGTAAACTCTCCTCTGTTGACAGCGGCTCAGAGAGGTGATATTTAGACTGATCCCTGCTTCCCATCTGCGGGAAGGACATGGCACCTTGACACATTCAAGCTCAGCTGAGAGCGACACAAGACAGACATGGACCACTGAATACTATGCAGACACTTATCCTTCAGACTATTTTTATCATTAAAGCCAGAGTAACCACTGGTAACTTATCAGTATTCTATTTATCACTGAAAAATAAAGCCAAAAATACATGCATTTGAAAACTAGTGATAGAAATAGGTCTCTAGAAGTTGATAGATTTATCACAACTATCTGTGATTGAAATAGTTGTCAATCAGTTTAATCATTCATTAACTGTTTTTGAAACATACCTGGACAAAAATATGCTAAGTATAGGTTGACTAATCAGAAAAAAGCGATAATTACCATTCTGTAGTGAGAAAAGCTTTTCTAAAGATGTGATAGAGGCCAAAAGTACATACGCAAACAGTTTAAGAGCCAGGAACTAGTTTGATGGACATATATAACATGAACATTTTTTTGCGATTTGAAAGTTAGGTCTCCCTGCAGCTTTAAAGGGACCATATGTAACACTCAGGCATTGGAGAAAAACGCAGGGCTTCGATCAGAATCAGAATCAGAATCATTTTTATTGCCACGTAAGTAACAGGAGGTCACAGACTTGGAAATTGCTTTGGCTCAGTGCAACAGTCAAAGAGAGAGAATAAAAAATAAAGAATAAAAAACACTTCTAAGGAATACATTTAAAATTAAAATAGGGTTACAATTACTAAATACAATATACAGTGCACATGGTGCACACAATATAAGGTGACAGCAGTACAGTGAAGTAAAGTGACATTATATAGAGCAGTAAAGTGACTTTATAAAGAGCTGTAGGGGACTTCTAGAAGGCGGGGGGTTAAGAAGTGTTCAAGTGTTCAAAAGTCCAACAGCAGAGGGGGAAGAAACTGTTCTTGTGGCGAGAGGTTCTAGTCCTGATGGACCGCAGCCTCCTGCCTGAGGGGAGTGGTTGGAATAGTCCATGTGCAGGGTGAGAGGGGTCGGCTGTGATACGACCAGCCCGGCCTCGAGCTCGGGCGACGTATAGGTCCTGCAACGATGGAAGGCTGCGGCCGATCACTTCCTCTGCAGAGCGGAAGTGATACGACTAAACCAGGACTGACAATAAGGGACACAGTGCTTCTGAACATATGCCTCCAGCCTGTGGAGTTCTTATTATACGTGACTGGAAACAAGTGCTGCTGACGTGTTTCAAATGCATATTGGTTAATACAGGTCCTGCAGCGATGGAAGGCTGCGGCCGATCACTTCCTCTGCAGAGCGGAAGTGATGGGAGAAGAGCAGGGGAGAAAGAACACAGCCCTGTGGGGCTCCTGTATTTATAATCCGAGAGTCCGAGACATTCTTCCCCGGACGCACTTGCTGCAAACAGAGTTAAGATAGCACCTTTTTGTGTATAGTTCTACTATAGTTCTGTGTCCAGAGACTTCATATCCAGCAGTATGTGTTCACAGAGCTGCGTCATTGGTTTATTTTATTATTAACCAATATGCATTTGAAACACGTCAGCAGCACTTGTTTCCAGTCACGTAGAATAAGAACTCCACAGGCTGGAGGCATATGTTCAGAAGCACTGTGTCCCTTATTGTCAGTCCTGGTTTAGTCCTGGTTTAGCTCCTGTTTTGGCTGTTTACGAGTATATTCAGTCTGCTGTCCCTGGCCGCTAGTGACCCGTGACCACTTTGCGGCTCTCTGATTGGCCAGCGGAAAAAGTTCAACAAGGTTCATCTCCTGCTTTCACCACATGCATCAAGTCTGCATACCCACCGCCTCTGCCGCGACGCAACCCACATCTGTCGCGCAGGACAAACCCACATGCACTTTCTCGCACGAACGGACCTCAACATTGACTTTGTATGGAAACTGGACGCAACTCTTGATCCGGTGTGAACGCCCCTTAAGAGTGCACATCACTGTCCCTTTAAGTTGGGCATCACCAAAGAGGCCTACACCATAACAAAGAAACCTAATATTGTGTAAGCAACCAAGCCAAAGCCTGGTGTTTCCCTTCTCACTTCCCCCACCGGGCTGAACCAGGATGAAGCACTCTGACAACACAGGCAGGACAGCAACGGTGTGGTCTGGGTGCTTGTTTGTGAGCACCTAATGAAGGATGGGGAGGACAGAGAACGAGGAGACAGAGGAGACAGAGGAGGCTTTGGAGAGGAGATGAAGAGGATCCACAATTACTGGAGATGTGAAGCTCACAGAAGTCAGAGCATCATGTTGGTCATGAGCTGGACACATAGGACCTTCAGCGAGCAACAGTAACTGAAACATGCATTACCCCGACAAAGAGAACAGAGCCGGTTTTTAACTTTAAAGTCAACTGTCTATGTTGCCTTTTGTCATAGGTCAAAGACCCAAACAATAAAGGCCTCAGTCTCCAGAATAGATAAGCATAGAGATGGATCCATGTCAAATTAACCGAGGTGGCAACTAAGTATTTTACACTCCTGATTCTTTTATTTTATCATCTCTCATTCAACCAAAACGCATTTCACAAAAAGTTGTTGTCTTAATAGCATATGTATGTACTTTATTTATTACATTTTGCACATTTACTTATATGCATTAAAGTAGTATTTTTTGCTCATGCCAAAATAAGATGTGTGAGTTGGAGAGAGATTTCTTTGGAAACTCACAAGTACAGAGAAATGGGTGCGGAGAGGGGATAGAAGAAGCGTTAAACCTGTGTGATAGGCCTGCAATTACAGTTAGATTTGAAATGTTTTGTTTGTGGAAGAAGTATTGTCGACTGCACAAACCACTCAAAAAGAAAAAATGTTTTGTTGAAGAATGTAAAATAAACCGTCGAACAAACTAAGAATGTTCACGTCATGCCTGGATCCTTGCGGCAAAGGGTCCTTCTGGCTGTGCTTACGGCCAGCAAAAAGTTTGTAATAAGGAAATGAATATTAACATGTGGATCAAAACAGAGGAGCAACTTGTTGAGTTCCATTTTTTTGGGTAAGTTTTGTGTGTTTCATGTGTTTGTGTTCTGTGTTTAATCATTATATTCACCTTGGGCTGTTGTATGTGTTATTGTTGTTTTACATTTTTAATAAAATACATAAAATAACAATATGTAGATATTATTGCACTTCTGGACAGCTGCTACATCATGATGGACAAAGTCTGATGGACCAATCCTCAACTTGAATTAGTATATATTCAGTGTAGCCCCAATGTAAACCCTGTTGAGCACAAGATGTCTCAGATGTCTGCTGGTCCAGTTCCAGTTCCCTTATCTCTCACTAACACGCTCGTATTAACCAGAAGGACGTCCAGCTCGGCCCCAGACACAGGGGCAGCAGGTTGAGGCGTGTGGAGGGGGGCCCAGTGCTGACAGCCACAGACAGCTGAACTTCCTGCCTGTGTGAGACCAGTAGAACCACAAACTGACATTATGTAGACTGCAACTATTGTGCATCGAACATCTCTGTAAATGTACAGTAATTGTTATACATTGTTAAGCAGAGTGCCATAGATTTATCTATCAATTTATACAACAAAGCAAAGCTAAGGGACTGGTCACTAAGGTATAATACTGTTTTTAAAAGCCACTGTGTCATTACCATGAACTTCTAACGCTGGAGAGTTTTTTTCCCCCCAGAATACATAATGTGAGTCTTTTTTGAGTGACAGGTTGTGGAAAAAATCCACAATAAGTTTTCTTATTATAGAAAATACACTCCCCTCATTTTTCTAATAAGAAAATGTTTTGTTTTTAGAAAACATTTAGTCTTTTACATACTGAGAACGGATTGGCAGGGTGACAGTGTTTTCCTCTTTTTCACTGAAAAAGCTGATCAAAAAAACTTTAATTGAATTGAATATTTTATTTCAAAGTTCAAACCTGCACAAAACCCAACTCTTCACAGACACACACGTACATGTGCATGGTTTTAAACGGGTCCAAAAATACATGCGTGTGAAAGCGAGCGTAACACATAGTTCAATTTCTTACGTAGCATTTTGTGAACCAAAGACCAAAACATGCTGTTTTCATCTCATTAGAAAACGTTTTGTCGTCTACATACTGTACTGAAATCTGATTGGCTGAGTGAAGGCTGGTACACTGAAAAAGCTGATCTAAAGATGTGAAAAAGGCTAAAAACACATTCAATTAAAAACCATAGATTGAACCAAACTGTTTACAGCGCTATAGGAACTAGTTTCATGGATTTTTAGGACATAGTTCTATAATTGTAGTTTGAAAGTTACATACCCCAGCTTTAATTGGAGAGGTAACTATGCACCGATACAGGCACTCTAGTTGTTTATGCGTTTTTATTGTTGTTGTTGTTGTTGTTGTCTCTCTTTTTCGATCTAATTAAACATATTCCATCAAACCATTATGGACTGGCACATGGTCAGCAAAAGTGATGGACAACGCAACAGGTGTGCTGAGTGTGAAAAACCTTTTGTCCTTGCGTTGCCGTGTGCACTTTGGACTTGTCACCACAGACATTAGTCAAAGAGGCAACCACAGCGCGTGGTGAATCCACACATGCTACATCTAAATCATAGTGCTGTAGGTGAGACACTCGTTCATGACTAAAGGGACTTTTGAGAGGCTGCTGATCTAATGGTATAGGCAGAACTTGAGCAAAGCATAAGAATAAATCACATTCAACACTCCCAATGATGACATCCAGCTGTTGGATTGTTAATATGTCTTGAGAGGAACCAGAGAGGGAAACTTTCTCACACTTCAAAGACCCTTGTTTAAAACCTATCCAGGGTTTTGTTAGTTTGAGATAGAGACACAAACGATTTACTGCATGTTTTTCTTCTTTAAAAGATAAAGGTTACATCTAATAGGAGAAATATAATGCATTTTTGTGATGATAATGAGACTATTTAATTTGCCGTTTCATGTTTTAGAATGTGAGATAATATCTTAAGCAGAAAATATACAGGGAAACAGGTATGAAGAGGGAATACAATGTAGACTTACAATGCACACTTACTACATCTTGCTCTGATGGGCTTGTAAGGCAGAACAGAGCTTTATAAATGTGACCGTAAGACAACAGCAGTTCTTTTTTTTATAAGGAAAAAATATTTGCCAGCGCAGAGGGTTCTTATAATAAGACAATAGTGTAAAGAAGCAAGTATTTCTTGGGGGCGGGTCCCAGCTCCAAAAGGTCCATGAGCAGCTTGCAATCTCACTTGGGTAACAATTACCCAATGCTTTTGTATGGCGTCTTTTTTCCTCTTGAAAACAACTTTACAGGATCCAAAAGTCGGCTCTTGGCCCAACGCTACGCTCCAAATGTTTGTCAATGCTGACAAACATGAGTTTTGTCAGCTGAGTTTTTTTTGTGTGATCAATCTAGTTCAGCCGCAGTGGACTATTGAATGCACTCTCTAAACGAATGGTGCTCATGCAGGCTAACACATGCGTGAATTCGTTTTTGCACAGTTTCCTGCCCCGCGGCCATTTTGAAAAAGTAAAGGCAAAATTGATGGCACATTAGTTTCTGCAGCGGAGGCGTGACTACGTTCATTAATATTTACAGTCTATGGTACTGCTTGATTATCACATGTTCACACGTAATGTTGTGATGTGCCCCGCTCCCACAGAACTCCCAGGAAGCGCAAGTCTACCGCCGAAACATGTGGGTTTTAGGCAGTACTCGCTTCTTTACACTTTGGTCTTATTACAAGAACCTTCTAAACCTTCCACATAAAGAGACATAATGAACTTTATACATAAGAAATACTTTTGCATAAAGTGTCTCCTTTAAGAAAACTGTCTACTATGAACAAATGCAGACAGCAGCATCTCTGTGGAGTTCCACCAGCAGCAACTGTCAAGACTTCAAGAAAACTGCCTGAGGCTCCAGAGCAAAGCACATGCATTCTTCTGTTATCAAAATTTCACTTAAGATACGATGTGTGCCAAGAACTGTCTATATAAAGTCTGTGGTCTTTGAGCAATCAGTGTGGTGATGTGTGCTAAACAATGTGTCACAGCCGTTGATAATTCAATTTGCTTTGTGTACTGCAACAAGTGACAAATAATACCTTGGAAATTGCCAGGCCAAATTAATCTTGATTTTGTACAAACAACATTTGTTCCAGAGAACTCTCCTGTGGAATGTGAAATCAATTGCAGCAGTAAGATTAAACTGCTTGTCCCATTGGCAAATCTTGTTTTAAAGAAGAATCATGACACAATATTTTTGGCCATTCCAAATAATAATGACACTTTTTTATTATGTTATTTCATGTTCTAGAATGTGACATAATATATTAAACAGAAAATATATGGTGAAACAAGTATCGAGAGTATACAAAGCTGTCAGCCTGCCCTATCCCTATGCTACCACCAGAGGGAGGTGCAGAATTTGTGGTTTTCCAAAACTTTAATACTAACATTATCATCTGCAAAAATGGCCAAAAGTAAGAATCTGCAAAATAAAGTAATGAGAGGGTTAGGGGGCTCTGAGCATGATGTCATAGGTCTAAGAACAGTGATGATCCAGGACATTTAAGGACATTTAAGGACATTTAAGGACATTTATGAACTTTGACCAATGGTGTTTGTCATTATTGCATTTCATCAGTTTATTCTCTGATCTGTTGTTCCCTCGAGACGACTGCTGCTGTGATTTATGGCTAAACAAATATAAATTGAATTGAATCGCTGTACAATACAGACTATTAAGGACTGACACAGGATCTTTTAGACTGAAGGGGCGAAGTGACGTGTTTGTGCCAGAAGTCCAATCTAAAAGCTCCACGTCTGTTTTTTGATGAGGAAACAATATTGAAATAAAAACATCAATTTTGCATGATATGTCTCTTACAGTATGACAGACTAAAGTCTACGATTTGTAATGATAAATCTGAGACATAACATGGTCAAATTAGGCAAACAAAAGGCTGCAGATTAGTTCCCAGAAATGAATTCAAACACGTAATCCATCTTTGGAAATATTCTCAGAACAGGTCGCGGGTTGTGGCTTGTATCTCAGTGGGATTATGTATACACAAGGAGATCCCCCTGTCATTTTTTATTGCAGCGCTCCGTTCGGTAGTTCCCTCGGACTTCTCCTATTTTAGTATGTTCTCCCAACATTATTTAGATAGAGAGAGAGATAGAGGGATGGCTTGAAAGCATAAAGGGAGAGAGAATAGTTGCTAAGCTCTCAAAACACAGTGCGATATGCTCCGTTCTAAAGGGGGCCGTGCATGATTGTCCAGGCGGATCCACGAGCAACACTTTATAAGGACTGGAGAAAAAAGGCTGAATCTAAATTTAGACTCACTTTATTCAGCCTGTAGTTTTCTCTCTTCTGTGCTGCTGCTGCTGTTTGGAGTCTCTCAACAGAGCCATGTGGGCGGTGGGCCTTGCTCTTCACCAGTGAGGGGAGGATGGTAATGATCTGGTAAGAGGAAATGTGAGAAGTAGTGAGCGGGTGTCATTTAGCATCGTTTTGGCAAAAAGCTTAATTGACTTTACTGTTACGGAGGCATTTAGAATGCACTGAACGGTTAAACTGTGATACTGTTATAACTGGTTGAATATTGGTTGAGCAACAGTGTAAAATAAAAAAAATAAAAAATAAGAAACTGGAGTGATGATTTCAATACGTTTTAATTTTGAGGTTAAATTATGTTTCATTGTCGGTTAAAGCTGTGGTACTTAAGTTCCCAAAAATGTATTTATTACGTATCCATGAATAGTTCCTTGCTTTCTAAACAGTTCCATCACTATAGTTTTGACATACGTGTATTTTTTGCCTCACATCTTTAGATCAGCTTTTCAGACAGAAAACACTAGCTCAACCAATCAGCCCAAACTGTCAAATAGTGACTCACAGGGCTCTCAGAAATCTGCTGAAGATAGTGATGCTGTGTGTACAATGTTCATGAAGATGAAGGCCTTTTGTAGTTGGATTTGTTTACAATATTTTATAAGGCTCTTTATTGGGACAAAAAAATAGAATTTATAATTTATGCAGGAAAAGTTAGGTATCCCAGCTTTAAGATAAATGGACCTTTATTGTAATGATATAATGCAATAACATGGTGGTGGTGGAGATGATTCATTCTATGGCATTCACTTGAAACTTGGATACCCAACTTTATAATAACTTAATTATTTTCAGACCTAATTCATTGCTCTCAAAACAGTTTGTTATTCTTGCTAGAACAGTGCACCTTCACTTTCAGCCCAAAGCGTCAAATAGTGATTCACACAACTCTTTCACACAATTCACACAACTCTTTCTCACTTTCTCAAGTATGCAAAATATCAAGTGTTTTGTTCACTTTTAACTTGAACTTTTTCTGTTGGTACAATCTAAAAATGTAATATTTGTGGAAAATGCAGGTTCTCCAGCTTTCTCCAGCAATATCAAATGAG